ACAAATCCACTATTCTTAAAATCAAAAATTCTAAAATTCACAGATCTGGTTCATTTTCTCACAGCACAAATTATATATAAAGCAAGAAATAACCTGCTTCCTGACAATATTCTAAAAGGGAACGGGGATACAATTTGAGGGGGGAATTAAATTTAGAACATCCTCGTATCCGTACATTAAAAAGTTTCTGCATCTCTGTGTGTGGAGTGAAGCTGTGCAACAGACTAAGTAAAGATATGAAGCAAAGTCCGAGCATGGCGCAGTTTAAAAAGCGGTTTAAGGATATGGTTTTTACAGGGTACAGGGAAAAGGTAGAGATTTGATAGGGTGTTCTTGTCTAATATTTTCATGTGCGTGCGTCTCTCTCACACACACACACACACACATTTCTATATATATATATAAAAAAAAATACACATGACATATAATGAAATTGCAAGGAGGTATTTCTGTAGTCTATTGATACTAGATAGTGGAAAAGGGGTGGAATTAAATAAGCTTATGCTTCTTCCTGCTCCTTTTTGAACATGAAAGTTATTTGGAGTTGTGGTTGCTCGTTTTCCTTTTGTTTTGCTTTGTTCATTTGTCTCTTTTAATTCTATTTTGTTTTACTTTTTCAACATGTTCAAAATAAAGATTCAATCAATCAATGGTGCTGCAATGAAATTTCAGCAAAACGGACTGCTGTATCATATTTTACTTTGATTTTCAGGCCTACTTTGAATTCAGCCCCCTGTAGGTTGTCCATTCATTCCTGACACATTATCCAGTTCTTGTCAGTATAAATTTCCAACAAAAAATCTTCCCTTTGTGATCTTAAGGAAAAAAATCATATTGCTTAATTTTTTTCAGCAGTGTTTGATAGTCAGAATTTTTATTGTTGTTGTTTTTAAACTTTGAGACATTCCAACAATCAAGAATGACAACACAACAGATTGGTGCAGCATAGAGTTTTGCATAGCAAATTTCTGGTGCTGACAGGGGCAGTGTTAAAAAAAAAAAAAAAAAGGTGCGACAAAGTGCCTTTAACTCTCATTCCTTACAATGGCCAAGAGCATAAGGTATGAAACTGCTGGTCTTTTTTTTGGGGTCCTTAGGGACTAGTAAAGCGCTATATAAATACAGGCCATTTACCATTTATCCTAACTAGTAGTGCAATATCTTTTCACAAAAGTAAAATGAGTTATTATTACTAAAAGACTTTAAGTTTTTATTATTATTACCCTTACCTGGACATTAGCTATGCATGCTATGTAATTCTCTTTACTGGATGGTTGATTCAGCTGCAGCTGAATACGTTGTCAGAATGATCATTAATCACTGACGTAACTTACCATCCTTCTGTTGTAAATTCAACGGGGATGATGGAGTTGTTATTGTTGAAACTGCTGTTGTTGATACTTGTGGGTTTTTTGTTGTTGCTTCTGTGGTAGTTGTTGTTGCAGAAGGTGTCGCCGTCGTCTTATTTGTTGTTGCTTCTGCGGTAGTTGTTGTTGCAGAAGGTGTCGCCGTCGTCTTATTTGTTGTTGCTTCTGCGGTTGTTGTTGTTGCAGAAGGTGTCGCCGTCGTCTTATTTGTTGTTGCTTCTGCGGTTGTTGTTGTTGCAGAAGGTGTCGCCGTCGTCTTATTTGTTGTTGCTTCTGCGGTGTTGTTGTTGCAGAAGGTGTCAGACACTGATCGTCTTATTTGTAATAGGATGATGAGTGTATACTGTGTTTTCTTGTGGTTTTGTTTGCTTCGGTAGTTGTTGTTGCAGAAGGTGTCGCTGCGTCTTATTTGTTCAGAAGTGTCCTTAGTCTTTGTTGTTGCTTCTGCGGTAGTTGTTGTTGCAGAAGGTGTCGCGTGTCTTATTTGTTGTTGCTTCTGCGGTTGTTGTTGTTGCAGAAGGTGTCGCTGTCGTCTTATTTGTTGTTGCTTCTGCGGTTGTTGTTGTTGCAGAAGGTGTCGCTGTCGTCTTATTTGTTGTTGCTTCTGCGGTTGTTGTTTGCAGAAGGTGTCCTGGTTGTGTGCTTCTGTTTTGTGTTGACGTGGGTGTCTTTGCGCGATGTTGGTGGTGATTGAGAAAGTGTTGTCGTCTTATTTGTTGTTGCTTCTGCGGTTGTTGTTGTTGCAGAAGGTGTCGCTGTAGTCTTATTTGTTGTTGCTTCTGCGGTTGTTGTTGTTGCAGAAGGTGTCGCTGTCGTCTTATTTGTTGTTGCTTCTGCGGTTGTTGTTGTTGCAGAAGGTGTCGCTGTCGTCTTATTTGTTGTTGCTTCTGTTTGTGTCGGTGTCGTTCGTCTATTGTTGTTGCTTCTGCGGTTGTTGTTGTTGCAGAAGGTGTCGCTGTCGTCTTATTTGTTGTTGCTTCTGCGGTTGTTGTTGTTGCAGAAGGTGTCGCTGTCGTCTTATTTGTTGTTGCTTCTGTGGTTGGTGTTGTAGTAGTACCGGCTGTTGGTGTTGTCGTTTTTGCTGCTGATGTTGGTGGTGGATTGAGTAAACATAAAGGTGGTTTAATAAATGTAATTACAGGGATTTTAAAGGTACGGAAAACTTAAGTATTTAGAGTTTGTCATACATTAATTATGTTAGTGGTCATAAAAATACCTAATCAGAAAGTGCAAGTGAAACGATCGATCTTGCCTTGTTTTTGGTTTTTTTTCCCCACAGGAATAAGTCCTGGATACAGCGGGGTCCGAGTTTAGACCCAACAACCTCCATTGGATGGAGTCTGACTGCTTATAATCTCATTTTTGGGCAAAGAATAGAAAGACAGCAGCAGCTGCCAAGCACTGGAAAAAATGTCAATTTTTTTTTTCCAATCTGCTAAACGGCAATTTCCAAAATAGAAAAACAAATATTCATCTTTTCCAATAAAATGAAAAATATAAGTCGCACTGTATGTGTGTGCATCCTCTTTTAGAAGTGAAAAGAAATTTCTTGTTCAGTCAAACATGGAGAACACACTTTATTGTCGTTGTTTTTCTGCTTTTAATGGCTAATCTTGATCAAATATAAAGTTTATGGCTGTATGATGGTCAACTGGGTATTTTTAGGATTTTTTTTTTAAAGTAAATTTCTAGGATCTGACATCAGCTAGAAGCAAAACACACACATGCACTGTTTCAGCATTAATAAATAAAATGTGTTTCCTACCTGGGTTGGGAGAATCTCGCTTACACACTTTTTCTAAACAAAAAAGAAAAACAGAGAAAAATATGGAGACAAGGTTGTGAATTTTAAAGTCAACACGCTGTAAAACATCCCAGTCACACATTGTTTAAAACCGAAACAAAACAACAGAAAATGTGGATATAGGTTTCAGTACCTGTACACACATCCCCACACCGGCAGACACAATAGCAGCATGGACACACATGCTTACAATGACGTAAATACAAAGCGCCGACCCGACGCATCAGAATTGTGAGATGTCGGCTTTTTCATCCGACGGCATGAACGCAGACACGCTGTCGGGGCTGAAACCCGACATGTCACAGATTCTGATGCTGCAGGTTTCATCACTCTCCAACCAAAGTTCACTGAACCAGCAGCAAAAGAAGATCAAAACTACGCTTCACATTTGATAAACATCGTCTGTGTACTTCGAGGACAGTTTCCCCATCTCAAATTTCTGTTTTCTGCATTATTTGCTTGCTTTTTAGTCTACTGTTGTGCACAGCACTGCACTGCCGTTTTGTTTGTTCAAAAATTACCTGTGACAAGAAAGTTTAAAGAAATGTAAACTTTTTAAAATTATACCAAATTGCAAATCTCTTAGCTATGTCTCTGATAACACCTCTAACTTTGCTCAGCAGCATCAGGTAATGTTCATATGCTGAGTTCAGTTTCAACTGCAGAATATTTTTAGGGTTATCTGCTATTTAAAAAAAAAAAAAAAAAAAAAAACAGGCCGGGAAAATCACCTTCATGTTTTTTCTGTTTCATCCTCAGTTACTACAAAGGCATCTGCTGTGATGGTTACACCTTTGATAAAGTCTCACAAGTGTCAGTAGTGATACGTGATCAGAATTATAATATTTCTGACTGAGGCAAAATTTCCCCGATTGAAATCGAATCGAAACCTTGTGAATGGGAATCGAATCGGTCATAGAAATCAGTGACCATACCCAGACCTGTGTGTGTGTACTTACCGTACACTTTACAGATGTCTTCTGCAGTGGGTTTTTGTGATCCTCCATTTGTTTTGTCTTTGGTGAAAAGAAGAAAAATGTTAGCAGTAAGAACCAGAAGTTCATTTTAGGTTTGTTGTAGGAGATCCATATTTTACGGTTTGAGGAAGACCTGCTCCTTTTCTTTCTCTGAATTTCTAAAACGTCTACGCTCGTTACAACAGTCGGTGTCACAGTGTTGCTTCTCACAAAGACATTCAAGCAGCAAGTCTTTAAACTAACCACAGCTGAATGTTAGACAAGTATCAAAATGAGGCGATACCTCGTAGATGCTTGGCTATATTTGTCAAGCACATGAAGTGGTAGAAAGGGACACTGATGTTCTCATCCGCCTCGTTACATGGCGATTTATAGTCCTGCAGGACAAACAACATGTTTATCAGATATAATCCTTGTTTAACCTGAGCAGGAAAAAACAAACAAAACTTGAAGAAGAAGAGATCTTTTTCCTTGCCATGTTATTCTCGTCCTTAAAACACTCCCGTAGAAAGCAGGTATTTTCTTTTTTGTTATCACAGTCTTCAGCTTCCATTAAACTACATACAATGATGTCCTGCAATGAAAGAAGGGCACATTTATCATTAACCAAATATAAGTCACTCCAACATAAATTTAAATACATTTTCTAGTTTTTAAACAACGTTTCACAAAGTTACCTCAGACTTGTTCATTATTTTGACAGGAATATTCTCTGGCAGCTCACTTGTTGCGTTTATCTTCCAAGTACAGAGAGATGGTAAAGAAGCAAAAGACATCATTAGTTATATATTAGTTTATTATTAGTGAGTGATCATCACAACTAAAACTGCAACATGTCCAAAGAGAGTTAAATATACAAACACACAAATCTGCTGGGGTTAGAGGCTCCCAGAGGGCTGCAGGTTGTCAAAAGCCTGATCCCAAAACCCAAATCTGATTTATATCATCCTCATATTACCTTTTATCTTACTATGGAATCAGAACGATGCCACCTTGAAACGAAACCGAAAAATGGATTGAAACCGAAAAAAAATATTGTAACTGAAATAAATGTACTGAAAAATCTTGTATT